TAAATATTTTATATAGATTTACCCTAGAACACTAGCCATAGGTATATAGTACCCAGACCAAATTTTCCTAATTTTTACTTACAATTTTCAGTACCTGATTTTCTTACCTAATTTTCTTTTCATTTTCCATGTAAAATATTTTAAATAAAAGATATTTTTATTTTTTTTATATATTCAAAATCAGTTCCTATTATATTTGTCTATTTTAATTAAATTTTCAGTACCTGATTTTCTTACAAATAATATATTTTTCAGTTCCTATTAATGTTAACTCAAAGTAGTTTGAAGTGTTTGCATGTAAAATATTTCAAATAAAGATTTATATTTAATATTTTTTTGATATTTTCAAAATCGAGTATCTTATATCCATAGTTAGTAGTGGTGTAAATTTAACCCTAGAACACTAACCATGGCTATATTGTACCCAGTGCAAATTTTCCTATTTTTAATTACAATTTTCAATACCTTATTTTCTTACCTAAAATATGTTTTTCAGTTCCTATTAATGTTAACTCAAAGTACAAAGTTTGAAGTGTTTGCATGTAAAATATTTCAAATAAAGATTTATAATTAAAATTTTTTGGGGATATTTTCAAAATCGGGTATTATATACCCATGGTTAGTAGTGGTGTAAATTTAATTGATGGTTAGTGTTTTAGGGTTAAGAACAGTAGATGGATTCTTCATTGGGTTCGTGTAATTTTCCCTTTCGATTGATCTTCAAGACGAGCCGATATTTTTTGTTCCTCTTAAATTCAAAGGCAATCACTCTGTATTAACGTCAGGGGAAACACACCAAATGGAATATAAGACACTTTATCAAATTCTATGTACAGTAGTTCGCTAGCTATTAAAGTAGTTCCTAATATAACAAGCATAAATATCTCAATGATGTAATCCTCTGGCTTTCTTCAGAGAGAAGCTTTATAAATATTCGTAACCCTTTACGAATTATAAACTTTTCATCAACCCAGAACATTTGCCATAAAAATGCATTAGCGAGAAGCTTGCAACTGTTCATCTGTGAGATAGAGCGTAAAATAATTCATCACCCACAAGACTGCGGAGAAGCTTCTGTACTCTATGAAGGTTGGAAAATGACGTTTGGGTAGCTCTAGACCAGGTTTGACAGCAGTGCTGCAGTTTTGGTCTGATCGGGTTCTTGTAAGGATAAAGCATAGTAGAAGGAGTCAGGTTCTTACTGGAGCGGTACAAGGCACTGACCATGATTACGACATCTTCGACGATACTTCATATATACAGGGTACGGCATAAATGTTGTTACAAAATTTCAAATGAATTCTACTTCTAAATCTTTGGTCATTACATTGTTGTTTATGGTTTGATACTAGCGTGACAACGTCTGCTGTTTGTTTTTTCAAAGAGGTTTAGTATTTTCTGGCAAAAATGTCTATAGAAATTAAAAGAAAGAATATATTTGAGCAAAATGAAAACGGGCTGACGCCACCTGAAGTCGAATACAAAATATCAAAAGAATAATCGATCGCTACAATGAGACTTTCCATTAAAGATAGACTGAAACCAGAATGTTCCCGCACCTCTAGTACGCCAAAAAACTCATCAAACAGGTTCCTTGAAAGAAATCAGGCGTAATCCAAGAAGGTCATTGAGAAGATTGGCTAAGGTGGCTGGAGCATTGGAGAGAACTATGCGGAGGCCATATTGAAAAGATCTCGGGATGTCGCCCTACAAAATAACTAAGAGACGGTTTCTTTCAGAAACCACTCTGAAAAAGAGGCTTTAAAAATCTAAGCAGTTGTTGAAATAGATTCGTGATGACACGCAGCAAAATATCATCTTCACTGATGAGAAACTTTTCACTGTTGAACAGAATTTTAATCATCAAAATGAACGTATCTGTCTATATTTCTGAGATGAGGTATTATATAAATTATTTACATTATTCGGACTATTGTCCTCATCTTTGTCGCCATATTTATTACAACGTTTCGGCCCTTCAGTATCTGTCTATATTTCTGAGATGAGGTATTATATAAATTTACATTTTCGGACTATTGTTATTCGGACATATTTATTCTCATCTTTGGTATCGCCATTTGTCGCCATTTTATTACAACGTTTCGGCCCTTCAGTATCTGTCTATATTTCTGAGATGAGGTATTATATAAATTATTTACATTATTCGGACTATTGTCCTCATCTTTGTCGCAATATTTGTTACATCCTTCAGTATCTGTCTATATTTCTGAAATATCCTTCAGTATCTGTCTATATTTCTGAGATGATGTATTATGTACACTATTTACATTATTCGGACTATTGTCCTCATCTTTGTCGCCATATTTATTACAACGTTCCGGCCCTTTAGTATCTGTCTATATTTCTGAGATGAGGTATTATGTACACTATTTACATTATTCGGACTATTGTCCTTATCATGAGGTGCGTTTTTGTAGCTCCTCTGAGTGTATGTAGTATTATGGTAGATGGAAGATTGATTTATGACGGACTTTTCTTCTGGTGAATGTGTTAAATTGTAATGAGTAAAGGGGTCGCGAATCGGATTAGCTAGGTATCGGATAGCAGGGATGACCAGCCTCTGCTCACAAACCACCCCTTTTTCGGTCACAATTTTCTATTCTTACAAAATAAATCCCGAGGTAAGTTTCCTCTTGTTTTCCTGCCTCAAGATCAACAAAGAAGTATACATAGAGGGCATCTTGGAAGGTGCACTCAGGCCATCGTGCAATGCAGTATGGTGATGAACATTGGACATTTCCGCACGATGGAGCGACGATTCATACTACTCATGTAACCCAGCGAGGGTGCAGAGACAATTGCCCTGACATCATCACCAAGAACGGATGGCCCAGCCCTCATCACCAGGTATCAACGCTCTTAACTATTGTTTATGGGTAGTTCTTGAGAGTGAGGCCTGTTCTACCCCGCACCACAATATTGAAGTTCTGAAAGTTAAATTAAAGGGAGCATGGAAACTGCGGTTCGTCATCATTGACTTTTCTGACGTGTTCTGAAGTCGAAAGGGAAGCATATTGATTTTCTGGTGTTAGAAGATTAATAATTGTGTTAGAATTGTTCGCTGATATAATATATTTTTGAAGGAGTTATGAACATTTTCTTTTGTAAGAGTATTTATGTCGCACTCTGTATGAGTCCCACTTGAGGTCTGGGGTGAATCTGACCCCCACGAACCTTCATGTGAGAACACTCAATCATGATAGTTAAAAGTTTAGTGTCTGTTCGGTAATGTTAGGTTTGGTTTGTTTTGATTTGTTTTACGGCATATCATCCTCAATGGGTTATTTAATACCGGTAAGAATTTTGATGGTAATATATTTTTTTCAAAAATAAAGTTTTGGTGATATTTTTTTTCAAAGATGTATTATTGGTAACATTTTTTTTCAAAAATGTATTGCTGGTAACAATTTTTTTTTAAAAAATGTATTGCTGGTAAAAGTTTTTCAAAAACTGTATTGTTGGTAACATTTCTTTTTTCAAAAATGTATTGCTCGCAAAATCTTTTTCAAAAATGTATTGTTGGTAACATTTTTTTCTCAAAAATGTATTGTTGGTAACATTTTTTTTTCAAAAATGTATTGTTGGTAACATTTTTTCTCAAAAATGTATTGTTGGTAACATTTTTTTTCAAAAATGAATATTGTTGGTAACATTTTTTCTCAAAAATGTATTGTTGGTAACATTTTTTTTTCAAAAATGTATTGTTGGTAACATTTTTTTCTCAAAAATGTATGTTTGGTAACATTTTTTTTTCAAAAATGTATTGTTGGTAACATTTTTTTCTCAAAAATGTATTGTTGGTAACATTTTTTTCTCAAAAATATATTGTTGGTAACATTTTTTTCTCAAAAATGTATTGTTAGTAATATTTTTTTCAAAACTGTATTGCTGGTAACATTTTTGAAAACAAATGTATTGTTGATAACGTTTTTTTTCAAAAATGTATTGTTGGTAACATTTTTTTCAAAATTGTATTGCTGGTAACATTCTTTTTCCTTCAAAAATGTATTGCTGGTAACATTTTTTCTTAAAAAATGTATTGCTGGTAATATTTTGGTTGCTCTAAAATGTATTGCTGGTAATAATGTATTGCTGGTAATAATTTTTCCTTCAAAAAATTCATTGCAGGTACCTATTTGTACACTTTCGAAGTGTTTTGACCCCAGTTTGGGTGTTAACTATTTGCACATAGCTGGGACCCTAACAGGTGCTACCACCCCGGATCAGGATGGACCTAGGAACACGAACAATGAAGAGGTGGTTCCGCGGTCCTCAAATCCTCTTGATAAAAGGTCTTGCTGGTGGACGTAGTTTATCGTCTTACCCAGGACGCGGTAATGTTAGGACGTTAGTAGTTTGGTTTTGGAATTACTGAATGTTACAAAGCAGTCCTTCCACCAAAAATTCTAATTTAGTAAGCTTCTACATTGAGTGGCTCTTGGGCCTTGCAGTGGGGGAATAATAAAGAAGTAGGCTTCCGTCATTTTTTGTTTCCCTTTCGCAACAAATATGGTCATATGAAGTAAAAGAAAAAAGAAAAAAAACAGCTATGATCGAGCAGGAACGACGATGCAATGAGAAATGTTCAAGCAACGGTGATCACTCCATTCCTGAGGAAGAGGGTCGAACTCGCGACATTATGTGAATTGCACCGAAAGACGAATTTCTTCACTACGGTTCACTATTTATTAAACTTAGCTGGGTAAGGCAGAAAGCCAAGAATTTAGAGCACCCTGTGAAAAACGAACTTACAGCGAGTCGTCTTAATAATCTTAGTCTGGCACAAGGCTGTAGAACTGGGGTGACTAGCAATCGCACTATACTACACTACCGAAGTAGTTTACGAGACACCCTTGTTCTATAGCGAGGCGCCCAAGTGCGGTTTATTGATGAATGAGAGTTAGAGAACTCTTTTGTGTTGAAAGTAATAAAAGTCCAAGTCGGCCATGTTTTAAAACTTAAAATAAACATGCCACTATTTACCGTTTGTGACTTGAACAATTCTTTTTAGGCAGGAGAAAGCGAGACGGGCCAAGCGACAAAGGGCTTGCATTAACAGAAGAGCAACCCTCATCTCGATTTGGGTACAACAAAGAGTTATAAGTTGCGCAGGTAACACTGACAGGGTCGAATAATAGGCTCATCTTGCACAAATATGCCAAAAAGAAAATAAAAAAGAAAGAGAGAGAGAGAGAGAGAAAGAGGTGGAGAGAGAGAGATGGGGAGAGAGAGAGGGAGGAGAGAGAGGTGGAGAGAGAGAGAGATGGAGAGAGAGATGGCGAGAGAGAGATGGGAGAGAGAGAGAGAGAGAGAGAGAGAGAGAGAGAGAGAGAGAGAGAGGCACTATATCTTGCTGCGGATTGACATTTCAGGTTTGTCCCCTTAGGATTTAGATTTTGTTTGAAATCAGTTTATTTTACTAAAGTGCGCATAACATTTTTCTTTTTGACTGTCTTTTTTTTCTCGTTTCTTTTTCTTTGTTTCTTTTACTGCTTTTCTTTCTTTTCTTTTTTCATGTTTTCTTTCTTTTCTTTTTTTCATGTTTTCTTTCTTTTTTTTTCGCCGTTATAATCGAAAGGAATGAATGAGAAAAATGAATTTTCAAACCTTTTCTTCTTATTCATTCCTTTGGATAATAACAGCTTCTCTTCAAATTAGAATTTATAATTTTTATTAATTAACTTTTTTTTTTTATAAATTACAATTCATAATTTTTATTATTAGTCTTTTTAATTATTTTCAATCAATAATGTTAATCTGTACCTAAATTCAAATCCAAAATTAAACTAAAATTCATTTAAATATTTTAACAGCAATAATAATCCACCTCCACAATAAAATATCTCCCGATAAACAGAAATATATCTGTCTATATTTCTGAACTGAGGTATTATGTACACTATTTACATTGCTCAGACTATCATCCTCATCTTTGTTGCCATATTTATCATAGCGTTTCGGCCGTTGCACACGCCGGCCTTCTTCCCCAAGGACACATGGCACAGTGGATAAAGGCGTTAGTTAGATCCAGTTGCAGGACACAAAGAGTGTGAGTTCAATACCTGCTTAAGGCGGTGGATAAGTTGGAGAGGGGAATTAACAGGAGATAACTGATAACTGACATCCATTAGACATGGCATGTGGAACTAGAACAGTCTACCCTAGCGAGCGAAATAAAGGGTTCAGTTCGACATTCCAACCACCTGAAGAAGGTCGGAGCGTACAACGGCCAAAACGTTGTGATAAATATGGTAACAAAGATAAGGACGATAGTCCGAACAATGTAATATATATATATATATATATATATATATATATATATATATATATATTAGGGGTTATGACGTTTAGTAAAATAATTGATTTCCTGTATCACAATTTGATGAACTTTTGTTCAGAAATAATGAAGAAGGGTTTAATTCAATTTATTGTTTTTAAAAGTATGACCTACAACACGAAATTTCTAAGATTGTTTATAAGTGGAGTAGTAGTAGGACTTTCTGGAAGTTTCTCGAACATTCTGAAATATCTCCCTATATGTAGATAGTAATAACTGACTTCCATTAGACATGTGGAACTAGAACAGTCTACCCCAGTGAGCGAAATAATGGGTTCAGTTCGACATTCCAACCAACTGAAGAAGGCCGGAGTGTACAACGGCCGAAACGCTGTGATAAATATGGCGACAAAGATGAGGATGATAATCGGAGCAATGAGAAATATTATAGAAGCGGTGTTAGCCGAAAAAATTGCCCCTGAAGAATGCAGAACGTATGAAACTCTGAATTGTGAAATCAAAATAACATATTTTTTATATATATGTATTTTAAGACATTTTTATGTTTATACGTTCTTTTTATAGATACAAATATTTAAGTAAATGCTCTGTTTTATAATAAACAGTATTAAACAACATTTACCGGCCTGAATTTTCGACAGATTTTCATAGAAATTATTCGTCCTCCGACAGGAATCGAAACTGTATCCTATACGGAACCACCATATAGCCTGACGTGCCTTAACCGATTTAGCCACAGAAGATCGTTCGGTTAGCAAGGTCGATTTTACTGCTTTTAAGCTACAATCTTCCATGAATCTCTCACGTACATTCATATCTGCTCATGGCTTATCCAAATGTAAACAAATGACGTCACATATTCTGAAATGGACAAAGTCCGATAATTATTTTAAGACATTTTGATATTATACATTCTTTTTATAGATAAAATATTTAAGTAAATGCTCTGTTTATAATAAACAGTATTCGATTCCTGTCGAAGGACGAATATTTTTAATGAAAATTTCTCGGACATTCAGGCCGGTAAATGTTATTAATACTGTTTATTATAAACAGAGCATTTACTTAAATATTTGTATCTATAAAAAGAACGCATAAACATAAAAATGTCTTAAAATAATTGTCGGACTTTGTCCATTTCATAATGTGTGATATATATATATATATATATATATATATATATATACACTAAACGAAAGACATCTCGACTCACTACAACGCGAGCTGTCCTTTGTCGAGTGTTGATGCTGTGAAGCATTTTTTGCCCTATTTAAATAGTGCGGGCATTGAACACTTTACTGTGTAGACAGGTGTTTGTCGTTTGGTCTTTTTCTTTCTTCTTTCTTTGTGTATTTTTTTTTCTTGTCTAAGGTTTTAGGTATTTTAGCAAGTTGCCTGTTGATCGCACTAACATTGTCGTTTCTTTTTTTTTTTTGTATCTTAAATTCTGTTAATTTCTTAAAAATTCGGATGGACGTGTCATCTCTCCTTGAATTCGGAATACCGCAAATTATACTAACATTGATTTAAAAGAGTCGAATGCACGTGAAACCTGATTGGCCAATGAAAATCAAACAACACAAAAGTAAAAATACCAGAATTGATTTATTTGTCTCCATATCTCAGTCCCTGACGACGGTTTAATAAATGACAAAAATGTTAGATAAACGTTTCCTATTCGTTCATTATCTTAACCTTATCTCGCATTCCGATCCATATTTGATGTTAACACACACACACACACACACACACACACACACACACACACATATATATATATATATATATATATTTGTTTTTTGTATGAATGATTCATGAATTTATAAATTATAATTTGCACCTTTAATTGAAATTAAAATAACTGATCCAACGTGCAACTTTCGGATAATAAGTGTGACATTACTGTAATTATTGAACAATTTAGTTCATGCCACATAGACGGAAAATCTACCAGTAAAAAAGAATTCTATGTACAAAAACGCACAACCTTAAACTTTAAATTCTAACTCAGCGTTGCGACCGCTCGTTCCAAAACAATAACACATTTCTCATAGCATTTTTTCGGATTACATCTATATTTTCGTTGTCCTCTTATTACTGAGAAGTAAAAACAAGAACAAAATCTATTTCCATACCTGAGGATATCTGTAGGAACAGACGAAAGATTGTAAAAATTAAAAGACCTTATGCAACTGGAATTTATGAACAGGGATCATATCATTTATATACAGGTTCGGGGTTGATGTATCTTATTTATATTGTTTGCGAGGATGTATTCTCGCCATTTAAATCATTAACCTCTATATTTGTTTTTTGTATGAAAGATTCATGAATTTATATATATATATATATATATATATATATATATATATGCATGTTTCATTAAAAACGACAGACAAGGTACTACGTTTGAGCTTTTTATTTAATTTTTCTTGTGTTCTGACAAGAGCTTTCTTTTCTGGACAAAGAGTGTGTAAGAACTGTCCGAATGTTCTG